CACCATAGAGCAGTGCTTGTGGCTGGCGGAGAGGGCTGCCTTTCTGCTGTTGTTTCCTAGTGTAGGGAAGCTGCTTAGTTTCTGTCATCTTTGTGGTCTCCGACTTTGTTGTTTGCACTTCCGGTGCTGCATCCAGTGTTAGTCATTGTTTGAGACTCCCCCTCCTGTGCTTTCCTCCAGGAGTGTTGTAGTTTGGGGTCTTGTGTAATTTTAAACCCATTTTAGCTAATGGGTTTAAAGAGTATTATAATTTTGGGTTTTGTTTGACCTTAAAACCTATTTTAACTGACTTTTGTGCATCATATATATGGGTCCAGATCTCAAAAGTGTTATAATTTTAGGTTTCATGTAATCTTTAAATCCCTTGTTAGGCCGGGCATTGGTGGCGCAAGCCTTTAATCCCAGCACTCGGGAGGCAGAGGCAGGCGGATCTTTGTGAGTTCGAGGCCATCCTGGTCTACAAAGCGAGTTCCAGGAGAGCCTCCAAAACAATACAGAGAAACCCTGTCTCGGAAAAAAAAAAAAAAACCTTGTTAGATGATTTTTGGTTATCATCTATGTGTCTATTTTGATTTTTTTCCTGCATGGATCTCCAGTTTTTCCAGTACCAATACTCAGAGCCCCTCTTATATTAAAGTCTGTCTGAGGTCCACATTTCCTGTGAAATGCACTTGAATATTAGACTTGTTGAGTCAGACTAACCCTAACCCGGTCGGCCTTGGTGGCTTGCTGGAAAGGACCGCATTCCCCCAGCTGTAGAACATTTCCCTTTTGTGGAAGTGGCTTGATAGGGGCCCACAGTAACTTTGGATCTGCAGGGTTCTTGTTGTGAAAGCTGTTTTTAAGCTGACATCGCTAAATGTTTACTGTGTGTTTAGAAATGTATTAGTCATGGTGCAGACACAGAAGCAGCTGGGCCTCCTGCTCCCACCTGTTTAAACCACTGAGGCAAAGCCACCTGGAAATATTCACACCAACACCAGCCATTAATTGGACCTTTACCCTTTAGAACTCCACTTTCTTAAAATCCAGCAACAAGAACTTTGCTGTCTCCTGAAGTGGTTTCACTTAATAGGATTTGGCCTGTGTGAGTCATATGCAGGGAGCTCCAGGTCGCATGCATTGCTCAGAGATAAGAGGCAGGAGTGAAAGCACTGTGCAAAATTTGGAAGAGGAGGCTGAGGAAAGAATGGCTTCTAATTTGCTCCGTATCAAGGAGCAATTTTAAATGGCCGTTCGTGGTTTGGGAGGCCTGCTTGTGGGAATCATTGATCCACTTTCTACATAGGAAATCACCTAAGGGAGATACACTCCCAGGTGTCTTGTGCTAGGACAAATAGGAGGCTGTGGCCCAGTTCCCATCACCTGGCCTTGCTGCCTCCCTCCCCAAAGACCCCACATCCCAGGGATGTCAGGTTTCATAGGAAGTCAGAGGTTAGAAGGAGCTTCACATGAGCCACCAGATCCATGGTGCAAACTGTAAGGAGAATATTCATTGATGCCTTGAGCCTTGTGGTCTGAATGGTGTGTGAACTGTAGCCTCTGTCCTGCTGCCTCCATGGAAGAGGCTGCTGAGCAGGGAAACAGGGCAGGCAGAGCTCGGACTCTTACTGGGGCTGGTATGGGACAAAGAAGAAAGAACAAAGACATCTGAAAAAACCAAAGAACCTAGTCTTAAATGGAAGTTTCTACAAAAACCTTTGATCTATCTGTGCACATCTAAACACCAAGCTTGTCCTTCTTGCCTCAGTCATGTTCTAGATTCATCTACAATGTGCATTAGAATTAGTCTACAATGTCTACAAAAACAGCTTCACAGAGAGTAGAAGGGAGAGAGAGACTGTGAGCATGCCTGAAGCTAGACGCTCTTGCTGAGCCTTCTGAGATAGCAGGAGACTGCAGCCACCGGGAATGTCTCACTTGCCTAAACAGTGCAGGAAACATTGGTTAGCATTTCACCTTTATTGCCACACAAGGCGGTGTGTCAGTTGATGCCCTCCAAAATAACAAAAACAGAAGGTTACATGGGTACATATATTTGTTTTGAGTTAGGGTTTTTCTGTGCAGCTTAGGCTGGCCTCAAGCTTGCCATCCTCCTGCCTCAGTCTCCTAAGAGCTGAGTTTGCAGATGGGCACCACCACACTAGGTTATGTATATGCAATATGGAGGTGCTTGAGGCTGGCTCCCTGTACAGAAGCTGGCCTCTGAAACTTTATAGGGTGGACCTGCAGGCTGGGACCTCAAGCAACCTTGGAGAAGCAGAATCTCTTCTCCTCTGGGAAACATGGTTTTGTTCCCAAAACATTCAACTGATTGGATGACTCACATCCACCTGACTGTCGGTGCTCTGCCTTACTTAAAGTAAGTTCTTTGCTAATAACCAAACACTGCCATAGCCAGGACTAGATTAAAGAGTGCTTCAGTGAGTGGGCACAGTGGCTGAGACCACAGTGTGGAGTCCAGTGTCACAGACAGTTGCTGTGAGCTACTTTCTACCATGGAGGAAAGACAAGGCCCAAAGACTGAAGGGTGCTTTAATGAGAGTGACTGTCACCTGCAGGCCAGCCCAACCTTAGGTCTAACTCAAGAGAGCAGCAGGTTCCTTGGTACCTTCTGGGCACACCATCCACAGAGGGCTTCTTCCACAAGTCAGTTTCTGTCTTCTTGGGTTGTTAGAAAATGTCACCTATCTCAGAGAAAACTCATTTCCTCCCTCCTCTGTCCCTCTTCCCTTGACTTTTATCTCCCCTTCCCCCTCTCAGCTTGCCTTAGTTGCCTTTTCTGTATTTTCTGTTTAGTTATTTATCCTTTAAAACAATTATGACTTCCTGAACTAGAAATTATAAAAGGAAAGGGAACAAATGAGGAACCTAGTAGATGAAATTGTGGCTGCCTGGGTGTCTCTAATGACAGCCCTGGTTTGATGGGACAGAGAACAATCACCAGTGCAGTGAAGTGGAGAAGAGAAAAACTCATAGAAAAGGACAAAGAACAGGAAAGAGAACTCAATCTTACTGTCCTGCAAGTCTCTTCCTAGTGATGTCTATCAGTTTAAGCTTGGGCCTATAGGAATGCTGTCCAATTCCGTTAGGAATGTTCTAGTCACCTGCCAGATCAGAGCTTCTCAAACTGCTGCCCAGAAGGGCAGGGAACTCCAAAAGTCAGGCTTAAAGGAGCTCTGTCCACGAGCGGGCAGATAGAACCTCCAGACGTACCATTGGGCAGCCAGCCAGTGCAAATACTGATGCCTGAGACTCTGGGTAGTGGCAGGAAGTCACAACAGCAGTTACCTTGTGGAAGGTGGAGTGGGAGGAAACTTGAGAGCTAAGACATTCTGGATCACATTCTGGGTGACAGGACTTTTGTGTTTTCTGTTCCTTCCTAACTATGTATTTGTACCCCAACTGAAAAGGGTAACCAATAGTGATTATACAAACACATGTGCATACCCAGGCATGCTAATAACGGATCTGTTTTAGTTTTCTTTCTGTTGTTGTGATAAAACACTGACCAAAACCAACCTGGAGAGGAAAAGTGTGTTTCAGCCCACAGACAGTACTGTTCATCATTGAGGGAGGCCAGAGAAGAAACCCAGGCAGGAATCTAGAAGTAGAAATTGAAGCAGAAACCAGAAAGGATTGCTACTCACTGGTTTGCTTAGCCTGTTTTCTTAGATAAACCAGAATCACCTTCCTACAGACAGCACAGTGCACAGTGGGCTGCCCCTCCCCTCCCCTCAACCATTATTAATCAAGAAAATGCCACACAGACTTGTCTAGTGGCCAATCTGATAGATAAAATTCCAAAACTGAGGTTGCTTCTCCATTAGTGACCTCAGTTGGTGCCAAGTAGACCAAAACTGACCAGCACACTGATCCTTGTGAGATTCTGATTCATGTGGCTCAGGGCCAGCCTGGGAGTGTATTTATAAACCATCCCAGTTGATTCCCATATGCAACCAGGCCTGCAAGCCAAAGCTCTAGAAGGAGACTGGCCCATTGCTTTTAGGCAGGTTTCAAGACAGCAGTGCCTGGGTAGGGTCTCCATGGCCCAGAGGCTGGCCCCAGCTTTCACAATTTATCCTTTCATAAGGATCAAATAGGTAAAAGAGATGAGCTCACAGCAGATGACTAAATTCAGCATACCTGGGCACTAATGGTTTTTAAAGAAATCTTCCAACAGCACTTACTTCCAGGACAGAGTTGGAGACCTCCATTGGCTCTTCTATTCCAAAATTCAACACTGTTACTCTAATGCTGCTAACAATGTATGCTTTCAAAGTAGAGTATATAGTATTTGTCTGCAATTCTAAAATCCCCAAGGCTCTGAAAACCAGCTTTGAAATAAAGTAACCCCAAAACACATTTGGCAACAAAATCCAAACAGCACTCACCTTAGCCCCCTTAGAGACTTTATTTAACTGCCTTGTGGTGCAAAAAGTCCTCTGTTTAACTTTAGAAATATGAGGACACTTGGGGACAGGGTGGTTCTTTGTTCACCATGGGCATGACGTCATATGCAATATTTTTCATTTTCTAAATCTGATAAGTGTAATTCTCAAAGCCTTCTGGCCCATGAAGTTCAAATAAAGGGTTATGGCCCTGGTTTGCTTGTGTGATTCATTCCCTCAGGACCTACGCTGATCTAGGGCAATAGCCTCACCCCACGGGTCATCTGTACTCTAACCATGTCTTTGTTTGAATTATACTGACAAGTGATGACATTCACCTCAGTAGGAACCAACTCAATCCTACCTACCATGGCACCGCCATGCCTGGCCCTCAGCTTGGCACAGTGAGGCTCCAGGAAACTCATGTTGAGGGAACACAGGGATGGATCATATGCTGCTTCCTCTAGCTTCAAGCTCAGAGAGTAGCCCTTTTCAGTCATTTCCCTAAATGCTGGGAGCACACTGGTGACATCTATGTGACTAGGTCACTGAATTCTGAAAGGATTAAGTTGAAGGAGGAAAGACACAACTTTAGAGAGAGTAGGTTGATTTCTAGTAGGAAAGAAAACTTCTTTGACCCCAAAAGTAGGGTAATGTTTGGATTTCAATGATGCATCCTTTTCGTGACTTCCATATTGGATGACACACCTCGAGATCTGGGATTCAGGCTCATTTCATTGTAACATAAATGAGGAGCATTCTAAACCCAGGAAACATCACTAAACTCAAAAGAAGGAATGAAGTCATTCCAAGCAGAAAAAGACCAAGTGATGCAAACAAAATCAGAACATGGAAATGCTAAAAGGAATGGGTACATTAGAGAACCATTCCCTGTCCTGTATGTCAGACACTGGTGTCCCATAGGTGGGATGTAGTGGTAAGAGAGAAAAGGGAGTATCCTGGGAAGCAAGGTCCCCAGACTCACACCTGGATGAGAAGCTTGGACTTGGCCATCTGTAGATATGTGTCACAGAGGTTAATAATAAGCCTGGCATCAGAATCCACTTGACAGGTGAGCCTTTCAGGCCTCCAGCGAGGGGAAAACCATCTGCCTGTCCAGGTTCTGTGGTCTCAGCTGCTGTTCTCAGGTTGTTTAGGAACCTTGAAAAATGGCTATCTGTTCCACTCCTTACCATCTCCTGTCCTTGGTGCCTCTGGAACTTTGCCTTCTCCACACCAGAAGCACAGCGTGGCTTGAGATCCACTGAGTTAGAACGGGAAGGGCTTCTAACTTGTCTCTAGAAGTGGCTGCTATGCAGCACAAAGAAGTGCGGACATGTCCTCTGGGTACTTGGATCAAGGGCCCTCCTGCAACAAGCATACCCTGCCCTCCCTGTACCTGGCCAACATGCGTATGATCTGTGGACAAGGGAGGCTCAGCTGCAGCCAAAGGCACCTGCAAACTGGGGATTTCACTTTGTGTCTTCATCCACTTCTCTCCAAAGGATAACAACTGAAAACCGCTGAACTCAAACAGAAGTTCCTTTTCTCTGGTTTGTTGTTTTGTTTGTTTTCAGATTAGGAACTGTTTGGAGGCAGTGTTGGCACTGTGGGTTTGTCATGCACAACTTGGAAGTGAATGCAGAATGTTGATCTTCACTGGCCCCAGGCATCCTAAGATAAATTGAACCAAAATTTTAACTTAAATTTCCATAAAAAGTTCTCCCCAGAAGAGTTGTCACATTTTTGTGTTTTTTCCTTGTCAAAAAAAAAAAAGGGAAGGTGCTGGGTGCTCTTGGGGGTTCTCCTTGGTTTCTCAAAGTCTGATTCTGCTTTGATTTGTGGTTTTGTTGGAGAATCGTTCTGAGTTTGGCCCTTGTTAGATTTGTGACTCGTGGGCTTGCTAAGCTATGCTCCATGGGGACATCTTGCATTTCAAGCACTGATTTCTAGAAAAAAACAAAGAAGCAGAAAGAAAGTAAATCCACTCCTTATCTGAGTCTGGTTTTCTCAGTTCCTGCTGATGGCTGGGGTTAAACTGTCCATTTGACAACTTGTAAAGCTCTTTATCTTACACAGCAAGAAAAATCAATGCCAAATTATCTCAAGAATATTATTGATGACCTAAGTGTCATTTTCTGTTTTTATTACTTCTCATTGTATTTGGCTTGTAATTCAAACCACTTTCTAATTAATTTGATTTGGCTCAGTTGGAACAGAAAAAGCTAACTATCTAATAGGTGGCACATGTCTCAGAGAAACCTACAAGTTCCTTATTTCCCCAAGATCAATCACCCATGAAATAACTTACCAAACTTTTGTTTTTCTAGCAAATTCTCAAGAAATACAATAAAATTAAATTTGTGTAGTCCAAAGAAGTGGCAAGAAACATGAACGAGCAGTAGTGACCCAAAAGTCTGGCTTTATCTGCTCTAATCTCTCTTCTAGTTGTTAAAATATCCTGAGGCACTCGATCAGGTTGCATTTTAATTTCAAAGCCATGTGTTGTGCTAGCAAAGCGCACATGTTCCTGATTTGAACCCCGGCTGTTAAGCAGAACTCTGGGCTGGCCCGGACAGGGTCTCCAGAAGGTCAAAGGCCTAGAGTCTACATCTTGGCTAGCTCTCACCCGTGAGGAAACCAGAAGCCTGGGTCAGGACACCAATGCCTGTAACAGGCCCTGATTAGATTAGACCTACCTCTATCAACTACACAGAGCGTGCGCTTAACCTTTTGACTCCAGAGTTGGATGCATCTTTATTCTTCAAACAAAAAGGTGGATGTTATTCTACCGAAGTCTTGGTCCAAGAGCAGGGAGGTAGAGCATACAGCTTTGTCGTTTCCCCTACTGCCACATTTCTGTAGGGACAGTGGTACAATGCATGTTAATGAGTATTTTAGCTGCTTTCCAATCCATAAGCTTGATATCTACAGAAAACTACTTTTTAATTGTGTTTTTTCTTCACTTTTGAATGAGAGTTTAATATTCTCCTTTGACCTCCATCTACAGTTACCTATTCCCTTTATGTAATTGTTCATTCACTTGTGGAAAGAGCAGTAACTACCCTGAGAAATTTAATTTCTTTGTATTCCTCCAAGTGTGTGGCTTAAATAGTACTTCTAACATTATTTCACTTACTCATAATATACTCCTGAGGAATTAACTCCTGAGCTTCTAACAACATAGGGTACTGTCATTCTAGAAGCACATTTTCAAATTCAGTTCTTCCTGTTCTCCTGAGGAGACTGGCCAAGTGTGTGACATGCAGGGTACTCTTCAGCCTTACCTTCCAGGTTGAACCTCGTCCTGGTATGTCTGTGTCCCTTTGGTGTCTATGGGCGGACTCAAGGGCAGTGGTGGTGGTGACAGACCAGTCCTTGGAGAAGGATCGGACTCCTAAATGGGGTTTGGATCACTTATTTTGTAGTCTTCTCTGGAGACCTGTCTTGGAAGCAGAAAGCAGCTGTGCCCTCTTGAAACAATTGAGTTTCTGCTTTAATTCTCCATCCAGGTCCTCGTCTTCAGCCGCGAATGGCTGAAACAGTATTTTTGTCTTTAATCATGCACTCGCTCTAGCCTTCAAGATGAAATCATTCCTTCTGTTGAAGGATGTTTTTCCTACTGTTGCTTTGTTTCTGCTGTGCATGTAGTCAGTTAATCAGCCCATTTCATGTGACATTTACTGACTCCTGGCCCAGAATGCAGGTTTGAAGGGGGAAAGGCAGCAAAGACCCTTCAGGAGAAATAATTCTTTCCCTGAATAAAGGAAAGATAAAATGAGCTCATTTTAATTATATTAAAAGTAGTTGTCAGTCACCCCAACATAGTGCTCTCTCTCATATTTTTTCTTCCTCACTTAAATGAAATCAAAATCTTAGAGAATTTTGAAACTTTTCTAAAACATGAGAAAGGCTGCTTTGCCAATTCACTTTCATTTAGGGGTAATTTTTAAATTTTCTGTTACATTTGTAAACTTAGAATTTCAAAAACTACTTCCTGAAGTGATATTTTTATCATTTTGTCTCAATATTTTGGATGCCACATTCTACATCTTGACATTATAATATTTTAAAAATTATTCTGAATTTGATGTTTACCAGGAAAAAGACTCACCAGCAGAGATCGTCATTATCTTGTGATAAGACATGTTTGTAGTAGTGTTCAATTTACTGAATTTGAACTTGATAGATCAGTTAGTCCCACTGACTGAGCCCTACATGTGACTAGAGTAAAGACATTCTGACAGTTATGGCTAAGATTAGCAACAGGGTAGGGAGATGGCACAGTAGGGAAAGTGACTGCCACACAAACATGAGGACCCAAGTTTGAATCCCCAGAAACCATGTAAAAAGCAGGAGGTTGTAGCACATGGCCAGAATCCCAGCACCAAGAGGCTGAGAAAAGAGGATGCCTAGATCATCTGAAGGATGCCAAACTAGCCAAATGGTGAGCTCCAGGCCAGGGAGAGACCCTGCCTCAAACACTAAGGTAGAAGAGCTATGTGTGGTGGTGAACACCTTTAATCCTAGCATTAAGGAGGCAAAGGCAGATAGATCTCTGTCATCAGTGCCACCATGGTCTACACAGCAAATTCCAAGCCAGCCAGAGCTACACGTAAGACCCTGCTCCACTCTCCCACCCCACCCCAAAAAAAAGTAGAGGTGATAACTCGATGGCTCACCTGTCTGGTGAGGACCTAAACTTTACTTATAGTACTGAACTTTCAAATAAAAGGGAGTGGGGGCAACTGAGAAAGATACTCAGTTGTCGGCTTCTGGCTTCCACATAGGCACACACCTGCTTACACACGGGTACACACACACACAAATGAATATCAGTATATAGTGGTGTGTGTGTGTGTAGTATTTTAGCAGTTTTCTCAATTCTGTAGCTTAACAACGTCCAATCACCTCATTTCCTCCCTTCAGTCATCCTGAGTCAGACACACCCTTCCGGAGTTGTTCCTGATTGACTTTTAGAGCTGAAAGCAGCAGTCCAATCGCCATTCTTGCCCTCCCCTGTTTTTCAGAAGCCTATTTTGAAATTTGGGGTTGCCAGCTCTCCAGCCCTCAAGACCATAACGTCTTAGCTGATATCACATCAATATTCAGAAACCATTTAATGTGTAGCTGTTATATACCAGACTGTCTTGTAGACAGTGTTTCTGCAGCTCAGTGTGTACTAAGTTGATTGGTAGATTTGATTGATAATTACCATACTAGGGATTTAGCACTAAAATTAGAATTCTCAGGAAAGCTTGGTTCAGCAGTTAAAATCACTGGTTGTTCTTCTAGTGGACATGGATTCAATTCCCAGCATCCACATGGTGGCTCACAATCATGTGTAACTTCAATTCCAGGGGATCTGACTCCCTGCTCTAACCTCTGCAGGCACCAGGCATGCATGTGGTTCACATACATACATGCAGGCAAAACACCTATACACATAAAAATAAACAGAATCTTGCCGGGTGGTGGTGGCGCACGCCTTTAATCCCAGCACTGGGGAGGCAGAGGCAGGCGGATCTCTGTGAGTTTGAGGCTGGGCTTGACCAACAGCCTCCAAAACAATACAGAGAAACCCTGTCTCATAAAAACAAAAATAAAAATAAAAAATAAATAAACAGAATCTTTTTTAAAAAGTAACTAAGTTCTGTCTTTTTTGTAGAAAGTTTTCATGCCTTGTGGAGAGAATACAGTGTTCTGTCTACTCAGGAATGTGATTCTGCATACCAAATACCAAGTTACCATAAGCCTGGCTTGGCCTGACTTTATGTCCTCTAACATCCTTCTGTATACATTTCTAGAGCTGGCAGCTTTCCTTGCTTCTCTTCACTGCTGTTAGAAAGCTCTGAGCAGATAGACCTCCAGAGACGTCTCAGGGGGACACCCCAAGAAGTTAGGAAAAAGTGAAGGGCCTAACCTGGGAGACAGCCGGAGACAGTGGAGACAGGCCAGGGGGATCTGCCTCTCATGATGGTGTATGGATGTATGGAATTGAAACTCCTTCTCGTTATCGTTTCACACTCGGCCAACAACTTTCCTTCCCATGTTACCTCTAAAATAGTTTAATACAGCTCCCTTCTTCAATCGTATTCTCAGCAATTGCTTCATTCTTCCCCTTGCATTTATCCCAGGGAAGAGGGATATGAGACTTGATTGTGAAATGTTTCTAAGAACTAATCAATAGCAACTTGAGGTTCTCCAGTTTAATTTATATGTATTTATCTTGGAAGATAGTACACATCTCTCTAGCATGCAGTTCTGTAGTTGTTTGGATGTTGGCAGGTTTTTCTGGGTGGGAGTGGAGGAAGTTGTATTTTTAGTTGTCATGATTCACTTTGTAAATGTGAACTCACTAGTCTGTTCTCCAGTTGATTTACTGCATATGGAATCAACTCACTCTAAGTACACCCTACAATTTCAGTAGTTTACAAAACCCATAAAAATAACAAAATGCTGAAATAAATATTTAAGATTCCTTTTCTGCATCGTGCTAAAGATATGATGAGAATAACTTTCAAAAGAAAGTATTTGCACTTGAGGAATTCAGGTAAAAGTCATGGAGCTATAATTAAAAACAGAGTGATGGGGGCCAAGTAAAATTGGGGGGAAGGTAGTTAAATTTTACTATGTGTCTTATTTTTATCTTGGATCCACTTGCACAGAGTTAGACGTGACGGAGTACCAAGTGCAGCATATGTTGTCATTTTACAATCAGTCTCTGTGTTTGAGTTCGGCGTGTCTGCCGTGTGGCTCTGTGCCACACGTGCTGCGTCAGGGCCCTTCTCAACACAAGGCTGGGGACAAATCAGGACCAAATGAGTAGAGTTCCCCAAATGAGTGCCCTTTTGCTATCTGTCTTCTAGATGCTTCTCCAGCAGACATGATGCCTTACTCTTGCACACGGGCTGCTTCTCCTCACAAAAGCCATCTCACAACCCAGCCTCTGCCGGATGCTAGCTTCTTCTGTCCCCCATGGAGTCTTTTCCATAAGCCAGGCCTGAAAGGGTTAGCTCATTGCTTCTCCATATTGCCTACTCCTCAGAAGTAATGCAGCAGCTTCTTCAAATACAGCTTACTAGGCTCTCACAGACCTACTAATCAAACGATGTCTGAGGCCTAGAGAAATGAATTTTATTTGTCTCTTCAACCTGTTCTTAGATAGGTGCCTGCCATCGGTTTGGTGGAGCCATTGATGTGATGAGGAAAGAACCAATAATTCTGGAGGCTATTGTACCCAAGTTCAAATAAACACCAGTGTTTATTGAACTTCACAGTGGTAGCCTCTTTGGCAAAGATGTTGGAGAAAAGAATGGCATGAAGGTTTAGAAAACAGCCAGTTCACATGGTACCTCAGGTAGTCTGGATCCAAGCATCTGAAAATGGTCCAGTGGAACAGACCGGTTCCCTGAGTGTGTTAGCCAGCTTTGTGTACTGTGGTTCTCTGGAGCACCAGCAGGTTTCTTCTCCCCCTCAAGTGAGTTGTCTGTTTTTTATCTGGAACCGTCCATCATCATTTATGTTTAGAATCTCTCCAGATAGAGAGTGTCTCAGTTTCCTGCACATTGAAGTGCTTTATCCCACTCCCTGGGAACCCGCAGGCCACTCTGCCAGGGAAGCAGATGTGTCCATCAAGATCTTCACATCTCACTCTGCTCCTTCAAGTCCAATCCCCCAGTTTCATGCCAAGCTCTGTAGCAGACCACCTGCTGCTGCCTCTCCCCACTTGCTGCCTCCATTCCAAGGGAAGTACTCAGATCATAGTGAAACATCATGCTTTCTCCTTCCTGTGAACCCCTGCCTAGCTATCCCATCCCTAAGTATCAAATCCCAATACCTAGGCAAACATTTTACCTGTTGTTTGCAGTAACCACACCTGAGGATCTCAGAAGCATTTCCTAACACACAATATACAGCTACTACACTCTCCTAAGGAGCAGAGTGGGCAACAGAAACCAAGGGGCAAAACACCCACTGAAATAAACATGACCAGGTATCAGAACCTAGAATTACAATCTTCATCTTCCCAAACCCAGATACCTAGACACCAGCATTAAAAAATAATAATAAATAAATAAATAAATAAATAAATAAATAACAGCCAGGACATTATGTCTTTGCTAGAGCCCAGCAACCCTATTACAACAGGGCCTGAGTATTGTAGCATAGCAATAGAATTAGTAAAGAAAAGCCAAATTGAAGGGAATCTGGAAATGAAAAATTTAGGAATGTGAACAGGAACCTCAGAGGCAAGCCTCACCAACAGAATCCAAGAAAAGGAAGGGAGAACCTAATGCATTGAAGATACAATAGAAGAGTAACTGGATACCTCAAAGAAATTGATAAATATTAAAAAAAAATCCTGGCACAAAACATCCAAGAAATTTGGGATACTGTGAAAAGACCAAAGCCAAGAATAATAGGAATAGAGGAAAAGAAGAAAATCCTAGGTCAAAGGCATAGAAAATATTTTCACGACACTCATAAAAGAAAATTTCCCTAACCTAAAAGAGGAGAAGCCTATCAAGGTACAAGATGCTTACAGAATACCAAATAGACTAGACCAGAAAAGAAAATCTCCTTGGCACATAATATTCAAAACACTAAATGTACAGAACAAAGAGAATGTTAAAAGATGCAAGGGGGAGAGACCAAGAAACGTATAAAGACAGACCTATTAGAATAACTTCTGATTTCTCAGTGGAGACTCTAAAAACCAGAGGAGCCTGGACAGATGTTCTACAAGTTC